GGCGATTTTAGCGCAGGTGGAGGTGGGGGCTGTTACAGCTGTCGGGGAGAGACTTGCCATCAGGAGAACAGCCACCGCACGGAAGGGAAGGGACCAGGTGTCTGCTGTGCAGAGGCACAAAACTGCGTGAGAACAGGAAGGAAGCAGTTGCTGGAGAGCATACGTGACAGCCCCAGGAAGATTGGTGGCGGCCACGAATGCAACAGCTAAAATTTGGAAACGCTGAGTTGCCCGAGGTGTGAATGTACCACTTAGAGGAACCTCTGCTAAACTTCCCTCCCGGGCCCTGTGAGTGCCTGAATTTGCCTTGAATGGCCACTAGATGTCACACTTGTGCATCTGCAGCGGCAACAGTGTTTCAGCTGGCTCTGCTACAGCCCAGAGCTTCATAAACTCATGTAAAGAAAGTGAAATTCTGCTTCAAAAACATGCATCCTAGGCCAGGCACATAAGTTCACACCAAGTCCAGTTCTTGGGAGGCAAAGGCAGGTGAATCTCTGTGAATTCAAGGCTTGCCTGGTCTACATTTCAGGACAGCCAGGCTACATAGTAAGACCTCGTCTTAAGAAAACAAAAACAAAACAAAACAAAACAAACAAACAAACAAACAAACAAAAAAGAGCATCCTAGGTGTCATATGCCCATATCCTAGCACTGTGGAGGTGGTGGCAGGAGATCAGGAGTTCGAGGTCATCCTTAACTAGTCTGGGCTACAATAAGACCTGTCTCTGAAGAGTATGTTTGTGTGTGTGTGTGTGTATGTGTGTGTGTGTGTGTATGTGTGTGTGTGTGTGTGGGTGTGTACATATCCTTAATTGTAGGCAATTCATTCTTAATGCATTTAAGAAGACTTACATATAATTTTAATAAAAGTTTAAGATATACTTTCAAAAATGAATTTGTTTTCTCAATTTTCTTTTTTGTGTCTTCTGATACTCTCAGAATTAAATATAACTTCCCATAAAACCGCTATGTCCCTCATCATCAGCGTCTCAGAGCCTCTCATCCATCCTGCGGCTATTATTGGCAGGAACTATTCTCACTCCATTTTGTACCACAGGGCGCTGAGCAGTGTCACAGCAACATCATCAGTAACGCCGGGTGGTGGTGGCGCACGCCTTTAATCCCAGCACTCGGGAGGCAGAGCCAGGCGGATCTCTGTGAGTTCGAGGCCAGCCTGGGCTAAAAAAAGATGGGGAGAGAAAGACAGATGTGCACAGACCTGTGGAAAGACACATGTGTGAAGGGGGCCAGGGAATCATGGTGCCGGCTTACAAAGGCTGAGCTGCGCCTGCACACACAGGCCCGTGTGGCTATTCCACACATGCACATAGATCACATGGTTGCGCTGTGAACTTTACTCAACCATGTAAAGCCATGGGGTCCTGGTCACGCAAGATGTTTGATCCAGAAATGCCTGGCAGAAATGACTAGGTGTCCCGCTGGGCATGCGCGACCATACCCAGCTGTGGAGGCGTGTTGGGAAACAGATCCACTAATCAGGGATCAAGCAGATTAGTTTCTCTTTCCATCATGAAGCTATAGTTTTTTACTTCTCCTTTTCATATGTGATCACTGCGAATACAGTATACTCATACAGGTCTCACCTGTTTCCTGATGCATTCCCCTGCATGATTTAGGACTTTCGTGACAGCCAGAATGACACACAGTCACCTCACTGTACTTTGTATTTCTAGTAATTTTGCACTAAATTTAATTTTTTATTATTTAGATTTTTTTATTTTCTTTGAGGTTATAATATCATTTCCCCCTTCCCTTTCCTTCCTTCAAACCTTCCCGTGGACCCCTCCTTTGCTCTCTTTCAAGTTCACGGCCTCTTTCCCTTTAATTGTTGTTACACGTGTGTGTACACGTATATATTCTTTAATACATGAATCCAACCTGCTCAGTCTGTATAACGTTACTTATATATATGTTTTCAGGGCCGGCCCTGTTGTATTGGATAAACAGTCAGTATGATCTTCCCTGAGGAAGACTATTTCTCTGTCTTCCAGCATCCCTTAGTTGTCTGTGGTTCTTTGGGTGGGACTGAGACCTCGTGAGCTGTCAGCCTCCCGTATTAGCCTGCCTGTTGGTGGCGTCCTTCTCCAGGTCATGCTTAGGTAGACCTGTTGGTGAGATTTCACGGGTGTAGCTTCTGACATTTCTCTGAGACACACTCTCACAGCAAACGCCCTGTTCCCCTGCTCTTATAATCCTTCCAGCTTCTCTTTTCACAGTGATCCCTGAGCCTTTGGTACAGGAGTTGTGTTGCAGATGTATAAAATGAGACTGTGTACCACAACTCTGAAATTTTGATTTATTTATTTTATGTGTATGAGTGTCTTGTCTGCATGTATGTTTTTGTACCATGTCCATGTCTGGTGCCCATGGAGGTCAGAAGCGGACACTGGATCTGTTGGAACTGGAGTTACAGATGGTTGTGAGCCACCATGTGGGTGCTGGGAATCAAACCCAGGTCCTCTGCAAGAGCAACAAGTGCTCTCAACCTCTTAGCCAGTTCTACAGCCCTGCCCATTACATTTTGATCAGGTGTGGTTTTCTGTAGTGATCTTCATCTGTTACAAAACAAAACAAAACAAAACAAAACAAAACAAAACAAAACAAAACAAAACAAAACAAACAAAACAAAACAAAAAAACTTTCCTTGATGAGGGGCAAGGTCTACACTTACCTGTGGGTGTAAGGACAAATGTTCAGATGTAGTTAGGGATGATGCAGGGTTAGTACAGCGGCGGTTGTAGGTTCTCCTCCGAGGTCCACGACTTCACTCGCCCTGGACAGTTGTCTGCATTTCCAGTACTTGGCATGATGTCCCTCTTGATGAGCAGATCTGAAGTGCAATTAGAGAGCTGCCGGTTACGGCTAAGGTGTGTGCACCACGAATGCACTGTTAGCGTCATCACGCCATGCTGGTCATTGCTGTGGTTCACGGGCATCACAGCAGAGTACGTCTATTTAATTTTTTTCAGAGAGACAACATATCACCCGTGGATAGCTTTGTTCTTTTCTTTTTTCTCAGTACTAATTTTTTTGAAAATTACATTTATTTATTTATTAATTATTTACTTGTCTATTTATTTATAGGGGGAGTATTGGTGTACATGTGCCATGGCATGCCTGTAAAGGTCAGAAGACTACTTCCTTCCATAATGAGGGTCCTGGCAATTGAACTCATGTTGTCAGACTTGGTGGCAATTCCCTTACCTGATGTGCCATATTGTTGGCCCTTTTCAGTATTTTCCCCTTTGTTTTATTTCCTGGATCTGTGTCATGAGGTAGACTGCAATATGACGGACAGAGCAGATGCCCAGGACATCTGGGGCTTTTGTCACCAAGCAAGCTGCCTGTCACTGCCCTGATGCTTCCACTTGTGTCAAGGACTATTTCCTTCACTCAAGTCCCTCATTTTCAAAAAGTCGTACATTGGATGGGGAGGGCTGCATGTGACCCACGTCCAGCCGAGGAGCTTTGGGCAGTTCATGGCTGATGGGGACGGGGAGTCATTTTTCTTCAGGGAGGCAGCTACTTGTAAGTTAACCATGACCCAAGAAACAGCCCCACATCCGTGAACATCCTAGTAACTCTAAACTCGGTGGGTTGTTCAAATGAGTAAAGAAAAGGGCCATGAGTTCACACCTGTAACCCGGCCCTGTGACAGGGCTGAGGATCAAGGCCAGCCTGAACTACATACTAAGCACCATGCTGAGCAAGCACCCCACCAGAGTGCTCCCCCTGGTCTGCTTTTCCTTTTCAGGAGCATTTGTCTTCCACCAGTCTGCCTCCAGGGCAAGGTGCTCAGTTCTTACACTCAGTTCTAAATTCTATGGCAGATGCATCATGGAATCTTGACCCTGGTCTCTCCTGGGCCCCCTGTCTTTTCTTCAGCGAATTAAATCTTCTCGTGTTTTTTCCCTCTGAAGTCTAAACAAACAATTTGAGCTGATTTGTAATTAGAGAATTTCTTTTGGGGCTGGCAAGATGCCCCAGCTGGTTAAGGGGCTTGCCACCAAGCCTGATGACTTGAGTTTGATCCTGGGAACCCACATTGTAGAAGCAGAGAATCGGCTTCCTCAAGTTGTCTCCTCTGGCTGCCACACATGCCATGGCACACATGTGCCCCTCGGGAAGAGGTAATAAAAAGAACACGTTTCAAAACAAAAATTTATCTTTGTGTGGTCCTCTCTACTTTTCTACTGAATATTATAGATTTTCATTTGGTAAGAACACTGTCTCTTTATTCCCAGTAAAACACTCACAGTGTCCATTCATACAGTCTGGTGGACTTTTTTGTTATGTTGTTAACAGGGTCTTGCTGTGTAGCCCAGGCTGGCCTTGCCTTTTAAGCTTGCTGTGTTCCTTCTGTCTCTGCCTCCTGAGTGCTGGGATTGCAGGCGTGTGCCTCACACCCAGCCCCTCCACTCCCACCATAGATACTCAAGTCACAGTGTCTTAATTCCATGAAAATATCACTGACAATGAAAATGACAAAGCCCTCGAGTTCTCTCTCTCTCTCCTGTGTATGCATGTGTGTGTGCACATGTGCATGTGTATCTCTGTATGTATGTGTGTGTGCATGGCTTTCTCTCCTTCCTTTTCTGAAGACCACTTATTTGATTGTTAGTTTTGTCCTTCCCCTTTGGGTTGATGTCAACATCCTGATTATCTCAGTTATTATATTATTATAATTATTATACATAATAATACAGTTATATTATATTGTTATAATTATATTATATTATTCTAGTGACTCATAAGGGATGTTCACTGCTATCCAGGGACAAAACTAGGAATGAGTAAAACCTCCAAAAGAGAAAGAAAAAAATGGGAGTTTTTGTTAACCTGGCATCGGTTTGGTCAAAACTTCCTCATTCTGCTGTTTGTGTTGAGGGAAAAAATGACTTCAGGCAAGGATCATGATGAAGGACAAGAGAGTACTTCTGAGCACACAGGAAGAGAACAATTCAGAAGACATTTATTAAGCATTTGTATTATTATGGATAGACAAGGAAAAGGCAGCTATTGCCAGGTACTGTGCTACGTGGTATATCAAACTACAACTTAATGTAAACGGAAAGACACAGGCAGAGGCCGGGAGATCCTGAGTTTGAGACCAGCCTCAGCTTCAGAGTGAGATTCTGTCCTCCCAAAGAAAGGAAGGAGGGAGAGAGGGAGGGAGAGAGGAAGGGAGGCAGGGAGAGAGCGGGGACACATCAACTATTGTCAGTATTTGCAGAGAAGCTGAGGCGAGGAATCGGGAAGCCTGAGTTAGAGCCTCTTGCTGGATGAATGTTCATTTTTCTTGGCCTCTATATTGCTAGCATTCATGAAATGTGGGCTGGAGGACAGCTCAGTGGTTAAGAGAACTTACTGTTCTTGCCAAAGATCTGATTCAGCTCCCAGCGCCCACATGGTAGTCATGGCCACCTGTAACTCCAGTTCTGGTGGAGAGAGAATCTGACACCCTCTTCTGGCCTCTGTGGATTCCTTCATGCATGTGGTGCACATAAACTCACATACAAACACATAGATAATGTTTAAAAATCTTCAAAAACAATGTGTGATACCCAGAGTGTTCAATGGCCATGCACACTGGGGGAACTGCTCCCAGAATGAGGTGGGAGAATTGCCATTAATGTCTTCCCATTCATACAGCGCCCTTCTGTGGATTGGGATTTATTGTATAGTTCTTGATGAAGGATTATACAAGAACCATTGCGGCCCTTCACCATCACTGCTTGAAGTGTTTCTGACTCAGCAGGCTCCTCACAGCAGCCCTCACATCCTTGTTCCTCAGGCTGTAGATGATGGGGTTCAGCATGGGGGTCACCACCCCATAGAAGAGGGAGATGAGCTTGTCTGTGAGGTCCTGCTTGTCTGCCCCCAGTGGGTCCTTGGACTTGGGCTTCCCGTACATGAAGAGGATGGTCCCATAGAAGACGATCACCACAGTGAGGTGGGCAGAGCAGGTGGAGAAGGCCTTCCTCCTCCCCTCAGCAGAGGGGATCCTCAGGATGGTGGTGAGTATGAAGATGTAGGAGACAAAGATGAAGAGGACTGGGATTGCCAGGAAGATCATGTTGGCCACCCCCATGCTGATGATATTGATGGAGATGTCAGCACAGGCCAGTTTCAGGACAGCCAGGATCTCACAGGTGAAGTGATTGATGACATTGTCCCCACAGAAAGGCAGGCGCATTGCCAAAGATGTCTGCACTGTGCCTGTGATGCCTCCAGCCACCCAGGAGCTGATGGCCATGGGCACATAGGCAGCCTTGCTCATGACCACTGGGTACCTGAGGGGGTTGCAGATGGCCACATAACGGTCAAATGCCATCATACTCAGGAGCACACACTCCGTGGCTCCCATGGCAAAGGAGAGAAACATCTGCACTGCACAGGCTGAGAAGGAGATGGTCTTCCTGGGGGTCAGGAAGCTGTCGAGGATGAGGGGGACCGAGGAGGTGGTGTAGCAGATGTCCAGGAAGGAGAGGTTCCCCAGGAAGAAGTACATGGGCGTGTGCAGGTGGGAGTCGAGGATGGTGACCAGGATGAGGACCCCGTTGCCCAGCAGGATCACCAGGTACATGGGCAGGATGAGCAGGAAGAAGGTTTTCTCCAGCGTTGGGTGGGCGGAGAGGCCTAAAAGAATGAAGCCGGTCACAGGGGAGGTCTGGTTGGATCTCTCCATGTTCCCTCCTATGTGGCAGGAACTCAGGTCGCCTTCAGGATTCTTGGGTGCCTATAATGCCAAGGGAACCTGTGAGAAAGAGCTCCTTGATGAACAGTTGGCTCAGAGCTCTGATGATCTGTGAGAAGTGGTCATCCATGTTGTTCTGAGTCCAATGCAGGAAACCGGAACAGCACCGGCTTGGTGGCATCTGGCCACTTGAAGAGATGTTTGAAATGTCATCTGGGTAAATTTAATTTTGCTAATCACTTTTAAAACAGGTATTATACATTTAGTTGAAGTTGGACCATTTGTGAACAACTTATTTTTCTCAGCTTTGTCAAGAAACACTATATTTTACTTGAAAAATTTCACCCATGGAGCCTAGGTCTGGCTGAAACTCTTAATCGCGTTTGTCTCAACTCCCGGCAACTCCCCTGTGTGAGCGCTCCTGAAGGCTGCCTTCTTCCTCTCTCCTTATTCACTTCCATGGTAGACATGATCCTGAGCCAGTCACTCACTCATTCATACATGCTCGCATAAGCTGAAATCTTCTGGAACGTTGATTAAAAGAACTGGCATTGATACCCACTGGCATTGGTCAGGGCGTGGGAATGGCTAAGGCTCTCCTCCTCTGTGGAGATGCTCATTTTTTTGGACCTCACTGCTACTGAGGCATTCCATACAAGGACGATTTGATCTCATGAATTTCTCTGTTTTGACCTTTTCTTATATCACTGATGCACCTTCAGATTTCCCCATGCCTCTTCACATCAGGCAGGAAGCCGGGAGTGTGACCGGCCCACGAGAGTTTCTTTATTCTTGAAAAGTGTCTCAGCTCAACAGGTAGACACTTGCTTCCAAGCCTGACAACCTGGATTTGACCCCCGGTCTACACGGTACCAGGAAAGAACCAACTCCTGCAAGTCATTCTTGGACCTCTGTGAGCATGCATGTGAGCGTGCACACACACACACACACACACACACACACACACACACACACACACACACACAGTGCTAGCTTACCTTTTGGATAAATATGCTGATAAAAATCACTTTATTTGAGAGCTAGAAATAGCCCAGCAGTCAGAAACAGCCGATCTGGCTGGAAGCACCAGCCAAAGGAGTGAGCACCTCAGGTCATGTTTTGTTTTCTTGTTATGTTCTCTGTTTGGATCAATCCACAAAGGACCTTTGGAGACCTAGGCAAAGCCATTTAAACCGCACTCTGCTGCCGGGATTATTCCAGTCCCCGATGTGATTTGAAGTTACAAAACTGAAGTGACAAAGTTCAGAAACTTTCCCTACACCTGGGACTATGTCCCCGTGATCCAATTAGTCTGAAATCTCTGCAGAAATACTTTCCCCCTACTTGGGTTGTTGGGAAGCGCTGGAGAAGGGTCATCCTGGCCCTGTTGGAATAAGCGTCTAACTCGTGAGGACTCTCAGTGTATACTATAATAATCTGGGGGAGAATGTGGGACCCACGCATTGCAAAGGGAAAATCCTTGTGGCTTGGGATCCTTGGCTGTTTGCAAATTCAAGAGCTCAGTACTGTACAAAAAGTTCTCAAAGTTTCCTTCTTAGCTGGACCCAATCACAGAAATTGCAAGCTCCTGCCACAGTCCAGGTCTTAAAGGGCATGAGGGAGGCCATAAATAAATCTGATCATTTGCTACCAAGCCTGCCAAAGCTGATGACCTGTATTTGATCCCCAGGACCCATATTATGGAAGGAGAGAACTGACTCCTGCAAGTTACCCTCTAACTCCGTATGTGGTGCACATGTACAGGGGTACACACTTGCACACACACACACACACACACACACACACACACACTACACAAATAAGTGCAATTAAAATTTAAGAAGAATAAAAAATATATACCTTTTAAGAGAAAAATAAAATTCACATCATGTATGCCTTACTCAGAGTGAGAACTAGAACTTTCCACTACATTATAGGCCCTCCATCTTGTCCTGTCTCCTCCCTCCAGGACTATGGCAATGCCTCATTTCCCTCCTGAAATAGGTTTCCTTCTCTTTATTTGATGACTACCGACTTCTGTAGAAGCTGTTCTCTTCTAGGCAGACTCCCATGCACCCCCCCCAAGAGCCAACAGCACCCAGGTACTGTTGTGAAGGACCTTTCTCAGTGTGACTAAAGCCCCATGGGAGTTGACTTTAAGTTTGTCCAGTTGAGTCTGGTCACATCAGGTGAGAAATATTTACTGAGTGGAAAGGATTCTACATGCCACAGGGCTGCTACAAGGATCTGAGAATGTCCCCTTGGAACAGTCAGCAAAGCAAATGGGATCACAGACTACCAACAAGAGAACCTGAATTCCAGACTGCCAGCTAGAGAACCTGAATTCCACCAACAGTCTGGATGAGCTTGGGAGAGGATTTTTTTTAAGCTCCCAACCACTCTCACCCAGATACCTCATTTATAGATAATAGTTGGGGGGTGTTTTAAACTGTTAACTTTGTGTAGTTTGTTATGCAGCCAAGGAAGATTAATAATCCATTCTTGATTTCTTTCATGGCTCTATCACCTACAAAAACATCAGTGTTAATGAATTGTTTCACTGAAAAACGAAGTAATAATTGCAAACCCAGCTTGCTAAGAAAAGGGAAGGTTTGCTACCATGGAAGGGAAATGCATCTGAAAACCTAATTTAGGGTTTCAATAGCCCTTTTTGTGCAAGCCAGGCAAGGTGACCAGGGACCAGACACCTGGCATGGAAGAGCAGTAGAGGAATGGATCATTTCACGGTTCTGCTTCTCTCATCTCTCCTTCCTTACCCCCCTCCACTTCTAAAGACAGGAGAGCAGGGCATGGTGTGGGGTTGAGTGAACACCCTCAGCTAGCCCACCAGGAAGGCAGAGAGAGGGAAAGGGACTCAGTGCATGGTTAAGATGAGACCAGCACAAGAAGACTGGGCCAGGCTGTCTGTGGCATCTTCAAGTCAATCGCCCCAGACAGCAGAGCTCTGTAGAAGGCCCCACACAGACCTGTCTCTGGTGTCCTCAGGCTGGTTTGCCTTCTCTGTGTGGAGGACAGTTGGCTGCTTTCAGAATCCTGTGGACTCCTTACGCTATGTCATAGATTAGACTCCTATCTTTTAACTGTTTTTTCCAATTGTGGGTTTATTCTTTTTGGTGGAACACCTTCTTCAATAACTTCTTGAGAAAAGCATATTGAAGACCATGTATGTCTGAGCATATTTTATTCAGTCTTTATAAATGACTAATATTTTGGTGTGTGTATTAGTCAGGGTTCTTAAAAAAACAAAAACAAACCCAACTTCTTGTGTGTGTGTGTGTGTGTGTGTGTGTGTGTGTGTGTGTGTGTATGTGTGTGTGTCTGTGTCTGTGTGTGTCTGTGTGTCTGTGTGTCTGTGTGTGTGAAGTAGGAAACTAGTTCAGGTGGTCATGTGATTGTGAGGGCTGACAAGGCCCTCCTGGTGCTATGGAACTGGCTGGAGACCCAAGAACAATCTTTGTCGTTGTTCACAAAGCTCATGTCCCAGCTCTGAGGAGGTGGCCCCTCATGTTCCTTTTTACCCTTCTATTGTGACATCCATCTGATTGGACGGTGCCTACACAAATTATGGAGGGCAACCTGCTTTACTCAGTATACCTGCTCAGATGTGGTTAATTTCATCTAGAAACACCTCACAGATAAATCCAGAACAATGTTTGACCAAATAGCCCAGCACCTGCGCTCCCTTCAGTCACATTTCAATGTGAGATGGGATTCTTGGAACTTTCTAGAGAACATCTTTCTTCTGAATCAGAAGGCACATCTGCCACAGTGAGAGTTCATTCTGACTCTTGGTCTGTGGGTGTGGCTGTTGGTTTTACCCTTTGGAAGCACAGAGTTCCCATGTTCTCATTTTTGCCAGCTGCCCTTCAGCCCAGAGTCCTGGTTTTCCTTCTTACTGAACACACTTTTGTTGGGGTGGATGCTCAGTGTCATGGAGGCGCATGATCTCTCATACATTCGCCACCTAGTCTTCCTAATTTTAACAGTACCATCTTTGCCTCAGGGATAAGGGTACTTGGTGCAGAAAATCCTCTGCCTCATCAGCCTCATTATTGCCCAGCATTCCAGGTTCTGCCTGGGGATTTGGCTCTGTCAGATCGAGGACGGTTAACACTGTCCATCGACTTTCCACATAGCATCACCATTGACATTTGACTTCTTAGCTTCATGGGTTTTATTGGGAAGGGAAGAAGGGAGGGAAGGAAGGGATGAAGGGAAGGAGAGAGGGAGATAGGGAGGGAGGGAAGGAAGAGAGGGAGGGAGGGACGGAGGAATGGAGGGTGAGAGGAAGGAAGACTTTCATGGGTTTAAGAGGGAGAAAATTCAGATGCTTCTGTCCTGATTACATGAAATTTCTAGTGATGTATATTATTTTCTTACTTATTTTCCTATTATTTGTTACACATTCCTTCTTGCTAGAATATCAGATGCACAGGGGTAGGGTTCATCACAATGCCGAGAGTCCTGGGTCTGGTCCTTGACTCAGGGCATTAGGGCTTTATAAATATGATTGTAGTGGCTGATACTGACTACCAGTCTGATAGGCTCCCGAACCCCCTAGGAGACAAAGCTCTGGGTACACGTGTGAGAATCAGATGTGGTGAACTGAGGTGGGAGGACCTGTCTTAACTATGGGCGGCACCATCCTGTGGGCAGAGGGCACGGCACTGTCTTTCCTGGATTTTAGAGCCTAGTGGCTGAGCAGGGGGCAGGGGGTTTCTTTACTGGTGGAAACGCCTTCCTCAATGCCACTGTAGGCCAACGTTTTTGCTTTTGAAATCTATAGCATTTCTTACTCTTGGAGAAAAGGATAAAAGATACACAAAGTCCTGAATCAGGCACTAGCTGACATCCAGTGTGAGTCTATGACATAGCTCCTTGCTAGGCTAGGCAATGAGCCTGGTCTCGTGCCCGCCAAGAACCCTTCATTTGACAATCAAAGCCTGGGCAGCTGTTTTCCCTCGGCGCATCCCCGAGGGCTCGCAGATCAGAAATCCTCGAGTTCATGCTAC